ACGCTGGCACCGGCGAGCCCCGCCGAATGAGCAGCGCAGACACTGCAGTGACTCACCCAATCACTCAACGGCGCAGGACCGTGATGGCATAGTGCCCCTTCCTCAAAACGCCGTGCTAACCTACTGTACTCGATCCCCGACATAATTCGTAATTTTATCATACCTACGCGACTCTAATTCCCGTCTCCCGTGTTCAGAACTCGAGCCCACACTGTCAGGTCCCCGCCACACTCAATATCACACATTTTCGCGTCAATTCATGGGGCTCGAGAAGTACAAAAACGAGACTCGCTCGGTGTGCAGTACTACCTGTGCTCAACCTCCTGGTAAGTCTCCATGCTCTTTTCTGCAATGTCTCCCAGGTTGATGTGTTCCCTTTTTCGTTTCAGATCTCTTAACTGCGAGTTCCGACGCGAGCCACGCACCTGCAAAGATGCGTCATGATGACCCATCCGATGTCTTCGACGAACGCCCTCCTAAGTGCCCGCGGGTTCAACTGCGAGTTGGCCCAGCTCCACATCACACCCCTGCTGTCTCTTCGAGTGAGCACCTTGCCTCCAGGGCAAGGCAGAAGTGCCGTGGTGCTGGCACTGCTGCTGCACCAGGTGCGTGTCTCTTTCGATGTGTGTGTGTTTGCTGGCAGTACTGACAGTTTGGTGCTCATAGGACCAGGTGCCGAGCCTGTCGCGTCGTCCCTCGTTGCTGGTGCTCACCCTCCCATCCCTGATGGACTGATCACCATGGATCCTAGTGAGATCTGCGTCAAGGACCCGTCGCCAGCTCCCTGTGCAGCCATGCTTCTTGAGCCGGCTGCTGCTGCCTCCAATGGCATGCAGCGCTCCCTCGATGCACTGTACGTGACCTCCCACGAAATTCGGCTCCGCCTCGCGGCGGAGGAGCGCGCTGACAAGGGTACCAACGAGGCATACGCACGCCATGTCCGCAATTATATTGCCTACTGGGACAGATACCAAGCTGAGATGGTTGCTGACACCCCAGCATGGACCTCTGTCCCCGCGCTGCCAATCTCGGCAGCCAAGGTGTTCATATTTCTCAACTACGAGCGAACCCGAGAAAAGGTGGGTTCCTGAGCCTGATGGCTCGTTGATATCTGCGCTGATTGACTCCTCCTTTTTTTTCATCAGCGGAAACCAGGATCGAGCGACACCATCCCTGGCTCGAATGTCGGGAAGTCTGTCATCCAGCAGGCCATCAGTGCCCTTGAGGACTGGCGGATGAGCCACCACCACCTTTACCTTGGTGTGCCTGAGGCTCAAGTCCGGCTGCGTGACAACAACCGCATCCGGCAAATTGAGTCTGCCGCCAAAACACGATGAGCCAAAGCGTGCGGAGAGCTCCCAGGTGCTCAAAGCCTCTGGGACCACTTCAGGTCAGTGTTCCTTTGCTCGTTGTGCCTGTTTCGAGGGTTGCAATTGACGTCTCTGCCCTTGCCCAGATGCATATACCACTGAAGAGCTCACAAAGTGCTCGGCATGGTGCCTGGCAAAATTCTCGGGCACTCGTCAGGTGTTTGTCGGTCTCCGTGACCGTGCCATGCTGCTATTTGGTGCCTCGACAGCGTTGCGAGGCGAAGGCACCAGAATGTTGCAGCTGTCTGATCTTTTCCTCTCCAAAGTTTGCATAGATGACATTCAGTTGGGGTACACTGTCCCGGTGAGCATCGTGCAGTGTTTGTAGTCAGTATTAGATCAGGGCTGATGCCACTGTGTGGTGCATGTATGTAGGTGCTCGTGGCACTGGCTGACAATGCGAAGAGCAACCAACATGGTCGTCTTGATGAGCATGGCACCCTGCGACATTTTCATGTGGAGCTCTGCCCTGTCGGAGCCCTTGCCATGCTTCTTTTTGCGTGCTTTCACATAGTCTCGCAACCTGTCCCTGAGTTCGCTCCTGAGTTCTCGAAGGCAGGATATGGTGAATTTGGCCACCGGTCATGGTACGACCTGTATGTCTTCTGGGGTGAGAGAGCTGACAGGCAGATGTCTTACATCAGCAAACTACAAATTTGGTGACAGAAACAACACGTCAATACAAAGCCATACAAGTCCATAGACGGTACATGGGTACAGTACTACAGGTTTTACAAGGTTCCACAAGGTTCCACAAAGCGACACAATAACTACAAGGCAACAAAGTAATTACATCATAAATAGAGCTATAGGTACTTTGCGAAGGTCGAAAATAATAGCTCCACATATGTTCTGCCCCCGTCTCGATGATGTTAACTTCAGTGGGCCCAACTCGAGGAAAGATGGTGTGAATGCGAGCCCAGTATTAACACCGGCTGCAAATGCGTGAGTTTAGTATGAGGACGAGGTACCGACTGTCTGTAGACATACTTTCAAAAGTCACACATAACAAAATTGAGGACGAACACTCACTGTTGTACCATCTGAGTGACCCCGAGTCATGGACATTGAGATACTTATTTTCTTCCGCTCTGTATGGAGGCGTCCAACATTGAGCTCCGCCGTCAACAAATCAGAATTCGCGGCCTGGACGCGCTGACGCCAGATGTCAAGAATCACCGATTGGTGTGCCAAAATGCAGTCGGCCAGGTGCTTCTTAGCCTCGTACACCTTTCGTTCAGCTTTAGCAGCCTCAAGCGCAAGATCAGAGTGTTCATCGCCTTCGAGTTCTCCGTCCGATTGGGTATAATCATCTTGCTGCATAAGGTGAGTCCTGGCAAGTAAAAGCAAGTAAGGTGCTCACAAGGTGCAGCGCGGTAGGTAATTTCTCCTCCTTTATTGATAATGCTTCACCAAAGTCAGGCCAATAAAACGCCGATGGAGTCGTGGTGTGAAGAGGTCTTTGGTTGCGTGGCTCATGCGAATGTCCTCTGATACTTGGAGAAGGGGATGTAGTATTGTGGAATGCTCGGGGATTAGAGGCTGCAGTGCGAGTATGAGACATCATAACAGGTGGGTGAGATCAACAAAGATCGTGTGAATATTTTAATATCTTCAATGTCAGCACCAACATGCCCAAAGTGTGGGAGAATATTTACGAAGGAGAGCAGCGTCGCTCGACACCTGAGCCAGCCTCGATCCTCGTGTCATAGTCATATGCGTGACATTGTTGATATTTTGCAGTTCACCGAAGTCGTTCCTCCCCAGCGTCGCGCAGGGGATGATACCAACAGCATCCCGGAAGTTTACGATGGGGATCACTGGCACGATAACATCGACGATGAATTCAGAATGTTTGAGGAATCGCTGGAGGAAGAGTATGATGGCGCGGGGGCCTGTTACTCCCAAGACGGCTCGACCTTCCTGGATTTATTTGACGCCGATGAATACGCAGAATGCAGGGTAGACAACCTCTACTATCCGTTCGCATCCAAAGAAGAGTGGGAAATTGCCGATTATCTCCTGCGCTCGTCCCTCAGCATGGCAGCAATAGATGAATTTTTGAAGCTTTCAATGGTGCGTATTCTTTGCACCCTCACGATGGGAGCATTGATACATCAACCGCAACTTGTTTTCAGATCCAAAGATTGCATCTTTCGTTCAAAAACGCCAAAGAACTACGAAGCCGTGCTGAAATGCTCCCTAGCGGACCAAGTTGGAAATGCCAGACTATCTCCTCCATCCATCCTACCAAGTCTCCAATCCGACTCTTTTGGAGGGACCCCGTGGAATGCTTGGAGAGCCTTTTCAGCAATCCATTGTTTCACGACAAGCTTGATTTCATCCCTCGCCGCGTTTACAAAACAGCAGAGCGGCTTTTGCGTGTATATTCGGAATGGTTAACAGGAGATTCCGCTTGGGAAATGCAAGTAAGTACTAATTCTGCCGAATTTTGCGTCATCTCACCATATATCCTGCAGACACGACTTCCCAGAGGTGCTACAGTTCTCGGCACCGTTCTTTCATCTGACAAAACCAACATCACCACCATGACTGGTGCCAGGGTTGCCCACCCTCTTCTTCTAGGCCTCGCCAATATCCGCATGTGTACCCGCACAAAACTCTCGTCTAAGGCTTTCCTGCTCACGGCTCTCCTTCCAATTCCAAAGTATCTACATCCCAATCAACGAATGCGGGGCATGCTTGAAGACCGTCTCGTCCATGAATGCCTTTCGATCGTTCTGAAGCCATTGATGAAAGCTGCTGAAGTCGGGATTATGATGTCCGATCCGGTAGGAAACGTCCGCCATTGCTTTACCCCTCTCGCAGCATACATTGTTGATACCCCAGAGGCGGCCATGCTTGCATGTGTGCGCGGAAAGACCTCTCCTTTCACCATGGCCTCGTATTTGCAGTTTGGGGATAATTTCCGGCACCCTGCTCGTACGCGCTCCATCACTCTTGGACAGCTCGCTGGTATTACGGTCAATCCTGATGACCTGGAGGCTTATTTTGAGGCTTGTGCTGACTCGCGGCTGAACGGCGTCCATGCACCATTCTGGATGGATTGGCCGCTCGCAGATCCCTCCATTTTTCTGACGCCAGAATCATTGCACCACTGGCACAAAGAATTTTACGACCACGATCTTCAGTGGTGTATCGTGGTCGTTGGAGCTCAGGAACTAGATTTTCGATTCTCGATATTACAGCCGACTACTGGTTATCGCCACTTTTCTGGCGGAATATCTAAACTGAAACAAGTTACAGGTAGGGGCCATCGTGATATTCAGCGCTATATCGTTGGCCTAATATCCGGTGCAGCCCCTCGTCCGTTTTGTCATCGCGATCCGTGCAGCTCATGGATCTTCGTTACCTAGCGCAGTGTCCTGCACCCGATGACAATCTCTTGGCGTGTATCGACCGATCTTTGTCGACTTTTCACGAACACAAAGATGTTATCTTGACCTTAGGCGCACGGATGGGGACAAAGAGGCCTATTGAAAATTGGTATATTCCTAAGCTTGAGCTCCTACAGAGCATCACTTCCAGCACGCGCAAAGTCGGCGCCCTCATACAGTGGTCTGCAGACGCTACCGAGCATGCACACATTTCTGAAATCAAGGAACCTGCACGGCAAACGAATAACAATGATTATGACCCACAGATCTGTCGTCATCTTGATCGGGAGGAGAAGTTGCGACGTTTCGCAATTGCCACATCGCTCAAGAACCATCCCGCATCCCATGATCCCAATTTTAGGGCCGAAGACATTCTTGAAGAGGACGACCTGGACGATGGAGATGAACAGGAAACGAACGATCCGCGAACGGCACTGCTCGAGGAGATGAACCACACTCGTGTTGCGACCGATTATTTCCGCAAAGCCAGGCAAATGGCTACTGCAAGATGCGATTCCAGTATCCCTCATCGAACGTTTATTGCTGAAAACACTGCCATCCACCTCAACTTCAGTCCATCTCGCTCGGGAGTCAAACTTGATGATGTCAGTACTGACTTCAACTTACCGGATCTGCATGTTGCGCTTTCGAGCTTCTTACAGCATGACGCGCGAGAGAGAGGAATAGTTCATGGGGTGGGGGGGTCCAAGACAGAGACCGTCTATCGATCGTCCACCAATCCTTCCATTTGACCGCGTTCAATTATGGAATACGGTTCGCCTCCAGCTCAAATCTTTCCATAATCCCGATATTGTGTTGCCGGCTCAAACTATCCATGCCTCTCCTCCTGGCCCTGGGTGGCCAAAAGGTCGACGGGACGCCATCCTCGTCAATGTTGATACCGCATATGAATGGCCTAAATCAGGTCTATCAGGTGAGTCCTTTTTCATCATATGTCAATGTATATAATCAACGCACTTCCCAAAGGCCACGTTATCTGCGAATTATGCCTCATAATGCGACCAATTCATCGTCGAGGTTCTCGTATCGCTTGGCGAGATCAGTACCTTTGTTACGTGCGGCGTCTGAAACATTGGCCCCTGCGATCCTGCCACTGGGATGCATGTGTTGAAGCGTGCAAAGCATGCAGATGGTACCCCTATCTGTAGTATCATTCCTCTTCGCCAACTCCGTGCATTTATTAGTATCATCCCTCGTCTGGGGGATGCGGCGGATGTATGATTGACTTCAGCTACGTCTACACATTATTCCCAAGAGTTTTTTTTGAACAAGTATTTTGATAAGGACTTTTATTATGCACTTCACAATGCTACTACCCCCGATAGCTAGCTAGCTTTGGATATCATTACTATGTACTGTTTCAAACGGACACTTAGTTAAAGACACTTTGAAAATAAACGCTTTTGTCGCATCCTAATGAACGCTACGGTACAAACCGGGTAAATGCACTACCCCGCGATTTTAATATTATGAAATTGATTGATTTCTGCACGACTTACTGAAAGAACAAGAGCGCCACGCCGCCAGGGACAATAGGACAACGAATTGCCCCCCATGTCAACATCTTTTGCCAACTATCTCCTAGCGGCTGTCAGCACCGTCACTATCCATCCCGTACGCCGCACGAAGGACGAAATGGATATACTCATGAAGAGTGAGTTGGGCCTGCAAGACCAAGACCCCCGGGTTCTGTGGGAGGAGGACCTGAAGCCTAAGACCCTCCATCCTTAAATTCCTCATTCCTCTTTCAAATCTCAACAAATCGGAAATCAAGAGGATCACTTACATCAAACAAGTACCGGGAAGCCAAACTCAGATACATGGGGCTCCCGTTTTTGACAAGGAATGGCGACTCAAAAATGCTTTCCGAAGTAAACGCAAGGTTGCAGTTAGGCGTACCCGGTTTCAGGCGGCTCAGACTGAGTCGCAGACTGATACAGACATAGAACTTGAAGGGGATTCCATGCTAGAGACGGAGGGCAGCTTGGGGCAGCAGGATTTCGTCAAGGCTGGAACGAAAAGAGCTAAGCCTGTAGGAGAAACGGAGGAAAAGAATTGGGAGCGTCTTTTCCGGGCGATATACTATCACATGCGCGAACTGCTCAAGGAGCAAGTCCAAGAGCGCAATGTTGATGGATCACAGCACTCGTCATCGCAACGCTCGGGAATCCAGCGCTCGCACATTTTGCCCTTCACCGAAATAACAGATCTCCGGTACTGGTCTTCAGAGTTCGCCACCACTTCCATGCCAGACGCTACCGATTCACGGAAGCCTGATCTCGTCCTCCTGGATTACCGGCTCAGAAAGCTCGGCTTCTCGCAAAAGTCCTGGAAAGATGTCCTCACAGGAGTTGAGATTACCCAATCTGACCTCTCTGTTGATCGCAAAATACCTTTGTTCTTGGGGGTTGCTACCAAGGGCTATCTGATGATGCG